TCCTCTGTGAAAACGAAAAATAACATTTTATGTTTTGTGGAGAGCCAACCCTACCTCTCATTTGAGCAGTGTAATTCACAGAATTACAAAAAATATATTTTGCCTCCTAAAACGTAAAGATTTTTTGTCACGCATGAATGCTTGTCTATTTCAAGCTAAATATAAAACGCATGTATACTGTATTTTCCGCACTTTAAGGCACACCGGATTATGAGGCGCATAAGATACTGCAGTCAAACGTTTGACTGGGTCTAAGTTATGCTAGATGTGCTGGGAATGTAACGAGTGCGCGGCGCCGGTGTTTAGGCTTTTATTAATGTGAGCGCACTGGGGCGGGCATGTGACTTACATTCGCAGCCTGACTCATGAGTATTCAATGTGCGTCGGCTCGCTGACAGCAACGGCTGGCTGTTTTGAATGAGACGACCCGGTTACTGTGAACGGGGAGCGCTTGATGAACATTCTGTGACGCGCGAGCAGCGCCGGGGACAGTGTGTCTGTTCGTGTGACTGTTAAGAGTGAGCGCTCGGGAGCGGGAGACACACATAACCTGATTTATACCAGGTTGAACTGGCCGTGTACTATTCGACTATAACGTTCATAGTCGAATCAGACCTCTCCGAATCGAATCGTCGAATCCTCAACTATTAGAAGTCAGCCCTACAATTAACCATGTAATTTTCTCTTTACACGACATAATAATGACCCTCTAAGAATTACACAATTAGGAAAAACATCACCTAGTCAGTAATAACTCCATACAAAATATCTGAATTAACCTTTAAAGTTAGTTACCCAAAAATATATCAATGTTTTTTTACAGCATCTTAAAACAACACTGGCAAATAACCTTGAAAAAGTACATTAATAAAACAGACTATTAAAACAAAGATTTAACTTAACCCTTTGAATTACTTGGAAAAATACAAACAGCACAATAGAACATCTGTAATGCTAAATACTACTGTTTTATAGTCATTCATTTAGAATACACATTTTTAACCTCAGTAGTTTCATTGCACTTAACACAGAGAGTATATTGCCTCTTCACATTAAACACTATTTTGGCATAAACTTTAACAATAACACGTTTACCTTTTTTTATGATATAAAACAAATACACAGAGAAAATGGCGGCGCCTGCACTATTACATTACCACCACGCTTTAATCTCGGCCCACGTGACAGAGCTAGCGTAGGCAACACTGGAGCAACACATCACGGTTAGCCTGCTAAATGTGCATCATATTTACTAATCACTAAATTTACTCCCTGCATGTTCCTTATGGTATTAAACATATAATCGTTCAAACATATTACAGCCCACTTTCTTACCTGTTAAAAAGGGAAATAGAAAACATGACACGGACACGATGTGGCCTCAGTCAAGTCCAATGTTGTGGACGAACGTAAGCCTCACGTTCCAATCCGTACACAGGCTGAACAAGGCATTAGCAATCGTTAACAGATCCTCCCATCACAAACCGGAACTTAAATTTACAGCAAAAGAAAGTGAAACTTATATAAACAAGCAAACACTGCATATTGTAAATTAAAGGGCATTACGCAAAAATGTTATAGAAGTTAAATAAGGATTTTAAACACATATCTGTTTATCCTATTAAGCTCTTTAGCCTCCTTTACTCACAAAGCAATGGATCACTGATCTACCGATCATGTTTTTTTCTTTCTCCTGTTTTAAAGAAATGAATGTTTCTTAAAATTAAATATTTCTTAACCAAACAGTGCAGCAATGCATTGATATGAACAATATTAAGTATCTTTTAACTTGCATCAACCCATTCAATGTATCAGGCTATTACATCAATTTTATCATCCTTACACAGGCTGGTGGTGGTGGTGTGATGGTGTGGGGGATGTTTTCTTGGCACACTTTTTCTTGGCACAGCCATGGCTACTTCCAGCAGGATAATGCACCATGTCACAAAGCTCGAATCATTTGAAATTGTTTTCCTGAACATGACAATGAGTTCACTGAACTAAAATGGCCTCCACAGTCAACCCAATCTCAACCCAATAGAGCATCTTTGGTATGTGGTGGAACGGGAGCTTTATTGTGCCCTGGATGTGCATCCCACAAATCTCCAACTGCAAGATGCTATCCTATCGATTTGGGACATTTCTAAAGAATGCTTTCAGCACCTTGTTGAATCAATGCCACGTAGAATTAAGACAGTTCTGAAGGCGAAAGGGGGTCAAACACAGTATTAGTATGGTGTTCCTAATCCTTTAGGTGAGTGTATTTTCTGCATTTCCAAGAGTCTGTGTTACAATGAGCCTCTATTAGAACTGTGATATTCTGTTACTTCTATGATTTCTACTGAGAAACCATGCATAAAAAAGTTGAATAAAGAGTCTATGTTCAGAAATTGAAATTATGAATTATTATTTTGTTTTGTAATATGCTGTATAGCTGTTTTGTGATGTGTTTTTGGTCACACTTCAGAGGCCCAGTCAACAGCATCATGCCTCTCTTTCCTGCCCGGGAACGAGCACCGCAAAATGCACCAGCTACGTGCCTCACGCCACAACCAGTGCAAACGACTTCAATAGGAGAGTCTCCTCTTTTGTTGAGAGCAGACCCTGTAACCCTGTATAGGCGCCGCCACAGAAGCTACAAATGTGCATGAGCACCGCCACAGAAGCTACAAATGTTCAAACCCTGTAACCATTTAAATTCGGGTAAATGTAGCAGACCACGCTGCCGGTTCTTGGCCATTTATGATTTGCAACGTTGCAACGAAATGCTAGATTTTTTTAAATCATAGACATGAGGCATTTTTGCAGAATTATGAGAGCAAGAAATCGCAACCTGTGTTTGCCTTAAAGAGCCCCTATCATAGCATTTGAAATGTTCCTATTTTTGTTTTGGGAGTTCCCAAAAACAGTTTAACGTGCATGCAAGGATAAAAAACACTTTATTTGTCTTATAATATGCATTTATTTTTACCCGATTTGCTCAACGACTCCCAAATGATTAGTTCGACGACTCATTTTCCCAAACACCTCCTTTGAGTGACGCGAATCTGCGGCGATTGGTCAAATGACCCAGCAGTTGTTATTGGTAAACCGTAGGCAGAGACTGTCGGCAACGGAACAGAATCCCATAACCAGGATTATAGCTTGTCAAGTGTTGAAAATTGTATATAGTGTTTGAACAAACGTGTCAGAAAAAGTGCACTTTCCACACGGTCCCACGGATTCTTCACATTCTCTTCCTTGGGCAATGAAAACAAGTGGCTGAACTGTCTTTGCAATGTCTAACACAGCGTCTTCTCGACATGATGCGATTCAGCTGAAGTTTTTGAATGTGTTATAAGGTGCGTTCCATTCGACCGTATAAGTGGACTGCGAAGTGGACTTTACAGGGTATTTCGCCATCTTAAGTGAGATTCCAATGGGCTTTATGCACGGCTGCACTACTTCCTGAACTTCAGCCAGCTCCTTGTTTCCTGTCTGCCATTATTGGGCAAAATTGATTAATTCAGGTGTGTCTGATTATTGTTGCCGTGACTACTGAGGTCAAGCACACCTGAATTAATCAATGTGTCCAATAATGCCAGACAGGAAACAAGGAGCTGGCTGAAATTCAGGAAGTAGTGAATCTGTGCATAAAGCCCATTCGAACGAAACGAACTTGTTCAGTTCGAAGGGCACTGCAAACGGCATAGGGAATAAGGGAACATCAATACATCACTTCACAGGAAGTCAGTGAAGTCCACTTCAACTGATATACCGTGTTCAGGGAGTAGGGAGCAGTGAACACTGCGTAGGGACCCTGTCGAATGGAACGCACCTCTAGACTAGACTTCAAGTTTATACTTCCGTCTGCGCACGCAGTTGTTGGGAGCGGCCAATGAGCTAATATTTTGTATCTATGTAACGACGAAACAGTTAATGACTCGTTTCAAAGACAATTAATTTCATAGACTCAGAGTCGACTCTCACTTTTGAAAGACAATAACTTTATATATGGTGCACTTTCAGATATAAATCTTTGCAGGATGTTTTCATTCCCTTAGAGCTATATTTCACACTACATGAACAGTCATTTTCAAAATTCATGATAGGGGCTCTTTAAAACAGAAGGCCATGTTCTAGCAAATTTTGAATGGACACCAAAAAATCCGAAACTCTAAACCCCTTTGCACATTATCAATACTTTTTGTGACTCCATGTGAACAAGTTTTGGGCCAATGGTAATTTGATTCAAAGGAATCCTTTGCATTCAAGGAAAAGTATCACATCATCCTTTCATTTTGAAAATGAAAACATTAAATGTAAAAAAAACATTTAAAATGATTAGTTCACTTTTAAAAAACTTCTGCTGATAATTTACTCAACCCCATGTCAACCAAGATATCAATGTCATTCTTTCTTTAGTCGAAAAAAAATTAAGGTTTTTGACGAAAACATTCCAGGATTTTTCTCCATATAATGGACTTCAATGGACTCCAACAGTTTCAAGGTCCAACTGAGTTTAGTGCAGTTTCAAAGGGCTTTAAATACTAACAGACGATGAATAAGGGTCTTATCTAGTGAAACAATTGGTCATTTTAAAAATAAATAAAAAAGTTTAAGTTTTACAAGCACAAATGCTCGCCTTTCTCTCTTCTGTGATGCGCGTTTGTGACTCTCCTGTTCGAACTCGTTCATCAAAATGAACAAATCTTAAAGTTATTTCGTTCATTCAACAAACAAAATGACTCTTTGACTGTGTTGACAGTTTATTTAAGTCCTTTATATGGAGAAAAATCCTGTAATGTTTTCTTCAAAAACCTTAATTTCTTTTTGACTGAAGAAAGAAACACAAAGACATCTTAGGTGTAAATTATCAGCAAAAGTTTTTTTTTTTTTTTTTTTTTTTTTTTAAAGTGAACTAATCCTTTACCAAAAGTAAGTTTACATCCCAACGGACAAATTACATGTAAATGCTTCAAAAAGTAAAATGTTATTTTTCAAAAACATTTACCATTGCATTGAGACAACATCTTTATTCGAATAAATATTACTTATAGCATTACGAAACACTGTCTACAGTATTATTTCAGTTAAACAATGCTTATTCCTTAAAAGCCTGTTTTATATCTAAAATACATTAATTTTAGAATCAGTCCCTTGTTAGTATGATATATTAAGCACTTTATCCATATGAAACAGGAAATCAAAACTTTGTGGTTTTGGAGGTGATGTAAACAATAATGGTGGTACACTGATTAGCTATAAAAAGTCTAAAAGATAAAATAAATCGTTTAAATGCAAATGCACAATAAATACAATAGACATATAAACTATTTGATCTAGATAAGTCATACTTTTTCCTTACAACTTACGCCATATTCAGTAAAAAAAATAAAAATAAAATTAAATAAAAGGTGTAACAACACATGATGCATAAGATTATCCAAGTACCTAAAAGTAAACCATAAAAAATAACTAATACAATTAATATCTACTAGCAAAACACAATATGAATAAAATTCTAAATAATTTTTAAATGGAAATGGATTTAAAATGAAATGGATTTGCTAAATGAAAATGCAAAATGTTTCAAAAAGTCAACATGATCATATTTAAAACATCGCTTCGTTCAAACCGTACACAATTCAGAGGTTTGTAAGATTTAGCACGATTAAGTCTCTGACAATCTTTTCCACAATTCTGTTAAATATTCATGTCTGGTTGTTGTAATTTCTTCATAAAGATATTGGTGGACTTAAATCACATTCAAACTCGTTCATATTGGCTCCGAGTATCTCTCCTCCTATGTTGGAAGAAAATGTAGCTCCATTTGCAAGCAGTTCCACATGGAAAGACTAAAGATGAGATTTACTGACTTTACCAGAAATTGAAATGAGTTTCTCCTCATGAGCGGAGTCTGCAAAATCAGAAAACAAATTTCATGTTTTATTTTAAAGAGAAATTAAACGAGTAAAAAAAAAATCACTCACACTTTGAAAGTTCTTCCGTCGTGCGACTTTGTGGTTTCATCTGGTCTGCAAATGTTGTGTTCAGAAACTGATGTTTGAGCCAAGTTGCACGATCGTCCTCGAAAGACTTCCTCTGAAAGAAGAGAACAACGTGGTAAAATCAAGATGAATAAAGAACTGAATTCAGAAGTCCATAACAACTGGACACAGGTCAGAACCTCATGGCCCAATCTGATGGCAGCCTCTGTAAAATTTCTCCTTTCCATTTCAAAATTTTTCCTCTGTTCTTCAAACTCTCTCCACTCTTCTTTCAAGCGTTCCTTCTCTTCCAGCATGTAGGAATCGTTCAGAACAGCTGCAGTCTCCTCATCACAGGATGTGTTGAGCTGTTGCTGTAAAAATCAAAAGCTGGTCTAGGAAAGCAGCTGTGTTTACTTGTACTTTTAAGCATTAACAGCTATATTTAAACAGACATCTTAATGAATCGGAACGCTAAATAAAGTGATGGGCGTGTTTATATGTCACAAGCTTCAAATCGGAATGGATTTTTTTGACGGTGCCTCTACTCACTTGCAGAAGTTGTTGTTGAGTCTGAATAAACTCCTTGCACTGCTGAATTTCTTGTTTGAGCCTCTCTATCTCCTCTTCATGGAGTTGTTTGGCCATCATCTCTTCGCTGTCTCCAGCTTACACCATTGATGTTGCATAATAAAATAAAACAGCATCTGTGTATTTATTTTACAATAACTTTGTGTGTCTAAGTTGTGTGTATACACAAAATAAATAAATCAGAAAAGGCGGTGATGAACAAAAAGGTGAGACTTAGGGTGTGTTTGCACTTGTAGTTCAGTTCTCTTGGTTCTTTTGGTCCGGACCGAAACATTTGAGGCTGCATTGTAATTGTAATGAAAATGATGAAGATATACAGTTGTTATAAAAATCATTCTAAACATACAGTAAAAGAATAGCAGGGTCCACACTTCAATATATTGTGCAATTCAATATTTCAGAACGATAAAAACATCGACAGCCAATCAGAATCAATTCTTTTTTATGAGCTTGAGCATTTAAAGTGGTTTGTAGTTATCATTTTTAGTGTGAACGGCCCTTCAGACCAGGTTTGCTTAGCATTCACATTGACATTTTTACTACTACACATGTAACAAAACAGCTTTCATGAGGTATATTTTGTGACGGACTTTACCGAACATCCAAAACAATGCTGGACTAAATGCGCTCGTTGTATGTGCGCACAACGATGGTCTTTTTACCACCTGAGAACTCATGAAGAGTTTATGAGTCTGTGTAAAGGAGTCAAAACAGTGGCAGAAAACCTTCCCTGCAAAACAAATAAAGATCTGCTGCAAGGAGACAGTTTCTGACGCCTGTTTCGAACGTAATAGGCAACGTAGCACCAGGGTTCACTGCACTAAAAGAGCAATCGCACCAGAGTTCGTTTTAATCGAACCAAACCTGCCAAGTGTAAACACACTCTTAATTCTAATCCTCTACCTTGGCTGTCCAGTCTCTCAACATGATGTTTGAGTTTCCTCCACTGCTGACGAATGCTGTTGGTCAGTTTCTCCCGAGCGTGATCACAGGACATCTCGGGATGTCCTTTCAAAGGTTCCTCGTCATCTGAATTTGTCTGTAGAGTCAACTGAAATATGACCAAAATCATTCTTCTTTTTTCTTTTTGTTGGATAAAAAAATGTCAATAGCTTAAAAATATGGTGAAAGAAATGGTGTAGCGCCAAATGTATATGTCACAAAACTTACTGGGAGCATAAATCAAAAAGTAGAATAAAGGATCTGTACACAACAAATAGGGCAGTTTGTTTATTATACTTCAACAGAGGCAACAAAAAGATAAAAAAAAAAAGGTCCTATAAAGTGCAAAACGTTTGAGAGATCAACTCTTCATCTTAAAAATAAAAAAAACACTTATACAGCAAGCATGTTATAAGTCTTTAGTGTAAAATGGTTGATATGGACATTCAAACCTGATCCATATTATTGCTTTGTTTCTCTTCCTTTTGGCATGTCTTCTTTGAATTTAAGACGACCACCATTTCTCGTTTCATTTGTTGAAGCACTTTCTTTAGCTCTATGTTCTCCATCATTAGCTCCCTCTGACGGGTATCCAATTCATTGAGAAGAGTTTTGTACATCTCTCCCTCATGTCTAAAAAAAATAACAAATATATATATATATATATATTAATGATATTATACTGAAGGGGATCAATTAAAACTGCAACAACAACATAAAACAAACGATTATGTACTTTACCTGGATTCCGTTTTTCCAGTTTTCCAAAGACATCTCCTCCCGTCTGACCTTCCAACATAATTCAAAACTTCCATTCCTGACAAAGTAATTGTAATAATATTTCAAAATATTTTTGAAAGAATAAATGCAGCCTTGGTGACACAGCCTTCCTAATATTGTATCTATTATTAAAAATATTCACTATACTGTATGCAGTAATATTATTGGTTTATATATAAGTAATTCATATTACCTTGTTTATTTTCCTTTTTGGCAATGAGTAGTGGATTGAGGCGCTCTTTTACTCTGTTATGCTCCCTTTCTCTTCTTTTGATGTCATGGTTGTATTGTGTGGCACGGCTTGCAATGATACCCTGTAGCCTTTGGATCTATTAAAGTAAAGACCATATCTGATTTGACAGACGACTGAGGATCACCACCACTGTAGAACCAAAAAACCAACTTCGCAGCTTTCTCATTCAATTTTCATACCTCTTCTTTTGCATCTTTTAGGCAATTTTGCAAAGTCTTTATATTTGTTTCCAGCTGACGCTCTCTCTCGTGCAAACGCATGTTTTCCTTCTTCGAAAGATCAAGCTGGTCCTACAAAACAGTTACAAGTTTGTTTTTGTTTTTTTAGTTTTACTGAAAATTTATGGAAGCTTGTTTCCGCTAAATAAAAAATAAAAAAGGTAATTGCGACTAATCTCACAATTCTTGCATGATACAAACTTGCAATTCTGACTTTTTCTCAGAATTGTGGGTTTATATCTCACAATTCTGATTCTGAGGAAAAAAAGTCCGAATTGCAAATTTGAATTTCACAATTCTGATTTTATAACTCGCGATTGCGCGTTTATATCACAATCCTGAGAAAAAAGTCAGAATTGCACATTTATATCACAATTCAGAGGAAAAAGTCTGAATTTCCAGAACTCACAATTGCGAGCAAAAAAGTCAGACTTGAGATCATTTGCAATTCTGGCTTTTTGTTCCTCACAATTTTAACTTTTCTCTTATAGAAAGAGAAATGAAGTCACATTTTTTTCTATACAATTGAGTTATAAATTATAGCTCAGTTGTGAGAAATTAAACTAAGTTTATATCTCACAATTTAGACTTTTTTATTGCAATTGTGAGTTTATAGAAAGAAGTCAGAATTTTGAGATTGAAATTCGCAGTTGGAGAAAAAAAAGCTTAATTTCTCGCAACTGCGAGTTTATATCATATAATTTATAACTCGCAATTAAAATAGAAAAAAATGTGAGATGCAATTATCTTTTACTTTTTTTTTATTCCATGGCGAAAACAAGCTTTCATTAAAAAAAAAAAATTATTATATGTTTGAATGTAGTAACAAAGTCATACCTTTAGTCTGGAGTTGGTGAGGTGTTGGTAGTGGAGGTCACTGCTGGACTTGAGCTGCTCCACCTCCAGATCCTCCATCATTCCAACAGCTCGACGGTGTAGCTGAAGCAAGCCATGTATGTTGTTTAGGGAAACCACAGCATCCAGATCACGAATGCCGTCTGAGTTACGGGAAATTGGTGGAAAGCACAGGGAGGACAACTCCTGTGAATGTAAAGAGTCCATTTATAATACGAGATTTAAGATTCTTCTTCTTCAAACATACTGTACAGTACAAGAAAAGCTGTTTACATAAGAGCACCTACCTGATTGATGTACAGAATGCACTCATTGATATTTTCTTCCGTGCAGAAGTTGCTTGAGACACTGAAAGAACTTAAAGGCAGAGGAGGCATCACAGATGCTGTGTAGAGTCTTGAAGGAGACATTTTAGTCAATAATGCGTATAAGTTCTGGAAAGGAAAAGAAACGTACACATACATAAAATAATCCACAATCAAAAAAACACTAATAAGTGTAAAGATTTCTCAGATGATTACTAGTGCATGCTGTTACGGTTACAACAAGTGAATGTGAATACTGCCCTAAATGAGGTTAGGAGGGGAGCCTGTCCTTAAAATAACTTTCCACAGTATTTTGAGTCACCTAATCCTTCCCTTTTCCCACAGGACTTTGGTTATCTGGAGCACGGATGTGAAATCTCTGTTACTAATATCAACTATTTTCTCAGTAATGACTTAATATGCCAAATGCAATTGATGAATATTTCGACATTTTCATTATTTACTTGCCTTGGTCATGCCAAAACTGTTATGATGTGCTGCATTCAAGCCATGTCATAATTACCTTGCAATGTGCCCTCCGAAGCAGGCATTTTTAAGATTTTAATTTGTACAAGCACCTCTGATACCACATTTGCCAAGCTCAAAAATGGAGAAAAAACTCAATAAAAACACTCTAGATATAAACTATGACTCGTGCACCATATCAAAAGTCTGAATAATGAAGTTTAGCGATAGATTTTTCGAAAGAACAGATTGAAATTTAGGTTAAGAATTAAAAACTTTCCCATCCACCAAAGTTCTCAAGTAAAATACTGCATGGTATAGTTAGAAGGCCGTTCATTTCGATGTCAACAGAGTTTTGGGGGCCTAAAAACGCAAACTTTTGAAAACATGATTCAAAGTCCAAAATAATCTCTTTACGGTCTCCATGCAAACAACAAAAACATGAATTTGTGAAAACGTGACATCATGCATGCGTATTTCATGGTCACCTACTGTATGCATATTACGTGTTCACGGAGTGTTTCTTGACAAAGTGACATCGCCAACTAACAGGCCTGTCAGCCTAATACAACCTTTTCGCAGATCACCGTGAACGGGAACGTTTTGAAAACATTGTTGTCTGTTTTTAGTACATAGTTGACGTGTAAACATTGCAAGGGTTTATTTGGATTTTAATGAACTGACAAAAACACATATGAATTTATATGCATGTACACATTCAAGAAGGACCAAAGAACCCAAGACTCGGAAGGGGAGAAAGAATGCACACTGCCTGCTCAGCGAAACTCAGAAGAGGAACTAAGAGTCGCATGACTATTGTTCGCATGACTATTGTGTTGCAAGTGTATCCGTTACTATTGTGTTGCAAGTGTATGGAAAAACCCAGATGGTCTGAGAGATTGGGTCACACAGCCAGTATAAATAAGGCTGCTTTTTCAGTGTTAGTTGTTGCATCTTGCTAGAAGATTTTTGCGTGCATCCTCGAAGGTAATCATTCTTCGATCCAGCTTGCTGGAACATATATTGCTTTAACTGCTTAGCTGTATGATGATAACTTGACCTGCTCATAGAAAGACAAGGTTAGTTATTCATTTGATATTTGAACTGTGTATGTTAAGAAAAACTTTGTGACTGAACCACTTATACAGGACTGCCCTGTTAAGTTGGGAGAAACTGAGGTATTATAATCTGTAACCTTTTCTTTTGTTGCTACTATTAACAATCATTGTGTAACCAGTGTTATTATCGTTTGTATAAATAAATTTTCATTTTATAAAGATAAAAGTTGAATAGTTCTTTGCCTCGGGTCACAATACCAGTTCTATAAGCAATAGTAAGAGCATTAGAGCTACCCTTGCTAGGGCAAGAGGTCACCAGGACTCCACGGAAGCATCTCCACGGAGGGTGAGTATGAATTGCATTGATGGTTGTTGCTAGTAATAATGTATTGGTTCACAAGAGTGTAGGGATACACCTAGATTTACTGGTATAGGTTAAGCGAGCTATAGGGAACGTTTATCCAGAAATTCTGACCTGACAGCAAAAGGCACCTGGCCACTTCGATACCAGGCGCTCTTCAGGGCTGAGGTAATACCAGATCTCACCACATGGGGGCTCGTCCGGGATCAATTATTATCAATTTAATAATTTGAATCCGAGTGAACAATAATTATTAAAACACCATCAAAATCCGCTAAACAGTGTCTCCAGAGTTAAAGGAGAAGGTTACCGAGAGTAACTGTGTCTCCTTAGTGCAAAGAGGAAGTCACTGAGAGGGTGCTTCCTCATATTAACTGTAAAAAATCTTCAGGGACGCCTGAGAGATAAATTATATGGTTAAGCACTAAAAGGGGTAATTGATCCAGAGGACTGCGCAGAGGGACCACACGAGTACCCAATATATATAACCTCGAAGAAGGATAATTACCAGAACTCTCGAAAGGCAGACACACAGTCATGGACAAGATAACTCATATTGCTTTACTCCCACCAGATAAATTTAGCAAGCGCTTGAAAGACGCAGGGCTAAAAGAAACTGAGGAACTCATAGCTACCGAGTGTACTTTGTATACACCTACCGTCGACGGATTACGAAGGTTAGTCCAAACCGTTGGCGAACAAACTCGAAGTGATAAGATCACTGTAGAAGTAGGGGACCATGATGTCACAATACCGTTAGTTCCGGGTAAAGAAATCCAGGTAACTAGAGACGGGATCCCCGACCAACGGGCTCGAGGCTCGGCTGGATCGCCGTCCCCCTCAGCGCATACTGACCGGGAAGAGCCAGCCGAGAGCGTCTATAGCCGCTTGGAAAGGGCAGGCGCTAGAGCAGCGATAGGGTCGGGGGCGATACCTAAACATGCGAACTTTATCACCGGTTTCTCTCCCGCGAATTGGGAAGAAGAAACATGGGGGGAAAAGAATTCCGTGTTTAAACCGCGTCAGACTTCCACCGAGAAAAAAGATAAATACGGAAAACTGGTGCAGGAAGACTCCAGTGATAGCTCGAGTACGTGCTACAGCGAAGATGAGATGTTGCCTAAACGAAAGAAAGTTAATTATAAGCGCTCAAAGAGTCTGTCGCGTGAGAGGCGAAGTAGCTCGGGTCAAAGGGAACATGAAAATCTCGGGGGTAGAACATTTTTAACCTGCCCGGGTCTAGTGTTAGATTCGCAAGATCCGCAGTGGTCAGCCCTTACAGAAGTGCAGCAGAAAGTAGTCAGACTGGCCGTGGGGCCGACCTCGGATGAAATCTTAGACATGCCAGGAACTAGTTTCAAGGCTAAAATAGATATGCTGGCCGAACAGCTGGATTGTATGCAAAAATCATTATGCTACTTGCTGTTAGATGGTCATAAGCCGGCCAAGCAAGAGCCAACCGTAAATGACGTGAGAAAAATGAGGGAGACAACTTATAGGGAACCGGAATCTAATAGAGACAAGAATAAGAGCAAAAAGGAAAAAGCTCAACAGAGAGATGGCTCCGCTAAAATAGTTGCCAGGGAAAGCTTCGAAAAATCCCGTGGTAGGGAAACACATAGGCAAGTTGTAAAATATGAAGAGGAATCTTCAAACTCGCAGTCCGAGTATGACTATTTGACCTCTGACACGGAGGGGGATTGCGGGGGTGAAGAAAAGGTATTACCCTTGAAACAAGGAGTAGATTTATCTCTCACCGCGGCTCTGGCAAGACAAAAAAGGGAAAAGAGGAAGTCAGATAGAAATAAGGAAGACGTTAGTCTGAAGCCTAGGCGGGGACCACCGAGACAAGCCAAAGGCGACAGAGTGTCCGCAATTCAGTTACTGCAAAACATGAGATTTCAAGGTGCCAAAGATAGCATGCAGAAGGCAAGAATGATAGCAGCTCTAGGAAAGACGCTGAATGCATCCACTGCCTTAATAGAGCAGATGATCCGACACCACACTGGGATATCGTTGAAGTTGCAGATAATAGAATCCCATTACGATCATGTGATAGGGAAAAATGAAAAAGCGGAAATAAGAGATGAGTTAGAGGTAGTAAAAACTGTAGGCTTATGGGCATACCTTTCGGAGAAAGCCGACAAGGGCTGGACTGAAGAAGAGGTACTGGCGCAATTAAAACAGCTGGCTCCTGAGCTGCCAGGCTGTAGAGAAATCACTCGCTGGGGGGCAGAAACTGATTGGTCTGAAATATCTAAATTCGCAGTGCGGTACGATAGAGACACTGTAAGAATACGGGAGGAAAGATCAGGCCGAAGTAGAAGCCGACCGCTAGAGGGGGTTAGAATAAAGCCAATAACTGACTTCAAACCTAACCAGAGTAGGTCTAGTAATGATGACAGAGTTAAGCCAGTCAGGAGAGCGCCCTCAAAGAATCGCGCTTACCAAAAACCTAAGCACCAGCCCAGACAAGAACAGAGAAACAAGAGTGAGCAAAAAAATGGCTATATAGACTCTGAAACATGGGCAAAAATGACAGATGAACAAAGGAAGGCGCAGAGGGAGAGGCGTCGCGGAAGAGAGGCGCGGAAACCAGGGCGCGCAACAGCGGTCAGAACTAATAAGTCCGCTAGAGCTAGTCACCAATAGGACAGAAAGGCTCCAGGAAAAGCGACCATTGCTTCTGATCTAGTTGAGGAGACAGAAGAACAGGATTTGTTTATTAATTATAAGGGGATTAAGTTCCGTCTCGATACCGGAGCGGAAATAACATCAATCACCGAGCTGCCCCCGGGGCTGAGAAGCTAAGTGGGCAATATAGGGTATATGGTTTTAGTGATGAAATGAAACCAGTGACTAGAGATAGATATTACTGGGAGGGAATACACTGTATTATAGACAGCTCGAATTTAATGAGTCTTAAAGATGCTATCTATGTTAAGGAGTTGAACGATAGGAATCCTGATAATGATAAACGAATCAGATGGCTGAAAACGGTCGACCTGGAGCACGAGATAAATAGACTCGTAAAAGAGACTCTATTACCCAAAAATGAGTTGAGGAAATTGCTAGAGAAGTATAGGAATAGTTTTGCAAAGAGCAAAAATGATTGTGGAAAATTAGATGATAAATACGAGTACACCATATTAGGGGGAATCCCCGCGCCGCAGAGACAGTATCCGCTGAATAAAGCCGCTTATCCGGAAATAAGAGGGACGTTGAATGAATTATTGCGCAAAGGG